CCCGCGCAGCGCCGCCGACTCTGCGAGGAAAGGACACGGGTTCCCTGAGTCACGCCGGGCCGCTCCTCGGAGAGCACTGGGGGCCGCCGCTCCCCGCCTCCCGCAGGGTCTCCGGAGACGCCCTGCGGACGGGAGACCATAAACAGACGCCAGACTTTAAAAATTAAAAGGATAGACGTCTAGGTTGGGTGTTCGGTTTAAAGCTCAGCAGGAGTGAGAACACACCACCACCCCCCAAAAAATAAATAAATAAATAAATAAATCCAAGACTTTTTCGACTTATAGCTAGAATCCTTTAATTAGACTCTGAGGCAAAGCAGTAAGATTTGGCCAAATCGGGGCTTTTCTTTGCTGCCATTCAGAAGTAATTTAAGATACTTAATAGGTGATTTTTAAAATGTATGGCTATCCCACATTGTTTTTTAAAAGTCATGCATTAACTAATGGGGCAGAAGCACCACATATTAAGATTCAAATTCAGAGACGTGCTCTTTTAATCTAGTATTACAAACTTTCCTTCACAGTACGCTTCATCAGTTTACAGTAAATCCTAGCGTCATATAAATCCACGAATCTCTGCATAACTGCAAAGCAACGTATCCAATCACGGACACACTCGCAAAACACAAAGCCATCTAGTTTTCACTCTTTTTTTGTTTCCCACCGGTCAACTGAAAAAAAACAAAACAAAACGAAAGAACTCTAGCTCCATTCTTCCACGTTATTAAAACGGAGAAGAAACTACTATGCCGCCTTCCTTGCGCAGCCAGGTCTCTAAGGCAGGGAACTCGTGAGGGCGCAGAACACACTTCATGGTCAAGAGTGCTCCACATCGTTTGCCTTTCAGCTCAGCCTCAAAAGCACCCTTGAGAACGACCGGTGGCCAAAGCAGAACGGTTACCTGTAAAGCGGCAACCGCTCCGTTTTCATGCATACAAGATTTTTTTTAAAATATGCTTAAAAATAAACTTCAAATTTAAATTCTGAGAGGGAAAAAAATGCTGTGCAGAATCAGCTTTCAAAGGACGTTCCGTTCATTCCTAACCCCCGGGAGCCCTCTAGTGTCCTGTTTGCAAACAGACTCAGGAAAGACCCAGTCTCCCTTAGCCCCTGAGGGTTAAAGACCTTGAAAACAGAGGAATTCCGGGCCCCTTCTGTCCACCCCATGACCCCAGGAAGAGAGGAACCTGGTTTCCAAGATCCGCAACTCACCTGTCCGTCCTGGCCCTCGCTGAATGACACTTGTCTCACACCAGTTCTAGGGGGAAAAAGCCTAGTGTCTCAAAAAATGCTAAGAAAGGGCTGCAACAAGTGAAGAAAAAAATAGAACAGTGAGATAAGGGCTTGCAGAGGGAGGGAGGGACATTTATAGTGCGCTGGACCGTGAGAGGAGAGCATGAGGTGTCACGGCCTCCCTGATTGGAGGCTTTTTAAAGACAGGTCGGGATTGGCCTGGAGAATCTGCGTGTCCTGGCACACAGGCCTAGGGTGGCCTTCAGGGTGACTCTGTTTCTATGACAAACAGCCTCAAGGCAAGCAGGCAAGAAGGTACAGAGGACAACAGGGACTTTTTCCCCCAGTAGCATAGAAGGTTGTGATGCCCCAGGTGGTTAGGAAGTCAGAGTACGGTGTGTAATCCTAAAAATGCTACGATTTGAGAAGAAAAAACTAGAATATATATAGAAGGAGAAAACTTCCAAGTGGTAAAATGCCAAAAACTATAACAGGGATGTTATTTTAGTGCTCTTAAACTCAGATATTTCTTGCTATTTAAAAGTTCGGGAGCACAGTGGAAATTAAAAGGGCAATTCCAAGTTTCTCTAGTGAGAGAAACTGAAAGTGTAAATAAGGACAAAAAGGTATAACAGATAATGTGAAATAGGAAAAAAGGGAGAAAAGGGAAGGGGAAATGGGACGTGTAGGGGAAAGGAAAGAAGAGACGAATTAATATGAGAAAATGAAAAATAATGGAAACAAAGTCTTTGTAGATTGGAAGGGAGGGAGGGGTTGAAGGGAGGGCAGGACAATGGGGAAAAATAAGAACCAAGCTTGATTATGTAAAGATGCAAATTCCCAACAATGAATGTCATTATATTGCATACCTTAAATGCACCAATAAAATTTATTTTTAAAAAAAGCAATTCCAACATGGAAGTGACCTCGAAGTATCTGTTGGTTAGGGCTAAACTGTGAAGGAATTCGGCCACCCAGCAAGTTTTCTTCTACTCCAGAACTCTTAAGACACACTTCCAGAAGCACAAAATCATTTTCTAAAGAGTAAATAGGAACATCTTGGAAGGAAACATGGCAGAGCAGCTTTTGATAACTCTTATGATCTTCACATATTCAAAAGGATAACTGGCTGGGGTTTTTACAAAGTGAGAACAATGGCTAGGGGTTAGTAGAACATTTACCTAGCATGTTCGGCCGCCAACAAGGCAAATACAAAATGGGATGTCTTTGGCAGAGGCCAAAGCATAATAAGCAGAAGCCTCCTTCAGGCCCTTTTAAACCGTCTTAGTAGAGGAAAAGTATGTAGGAACTAGATAAAGACTATGTGAACTGATAAATTCGGCTGATCATCCTTCACTAAAAAAAAAAAAATCTCTTCATCAGAAAAAGTCCTCCACACTGTCTCCTCTCACAGCCCCAGTGCGGATGGGTGGGGATGTGCACAGAATGGTGGGGGAAGGGCAAGCCTGGCTTGGAGCCTTCCTCCTCCTCCTCCTCCTCCTCCTCCTCCTCCCCCTCCCCTCCTCAGTCCCCCTACTCCTCTCCTCCTCCGCTTTCCTCCCCCTTTCTCTCCACCTCCTCACTCCTCCCTTATCCTTCATGAGGTGAGCAGCTCCACCTTCCCACCTGCTCACCACCCCAGGATGCTTTGCCTCACCATGGTCCCTGAGCAACCGGCCTAAGTGACCACGGACTGAGCCTTCTGAACCTGTGAGCCAAGATAAACTTTTCCTCCGCTCAGGTTATGTTCTTGTATGTCTTGCCATAGCAACACAAAACTGAGGAAAGTGCTCATCCTCTGAGTTTCTTATGATTAAACAAGAAGTGGTGATCATTTGGACGTCGGCAGTTTTTGTTTTTATCTCTGTTTTAGTCACTTTTCTGTTGCTAAGATGCAATTCCTAGCACCCAAAATTTAAAGAAAGAGGGGTCTGTTTGGGCTCACAGTTCTAGAAGTTTCAGTCCATGATTGCCTGGCTCAAACACAGAAACCACATGTTAAAGGGCCAGCAGAGGAAAGCTACTGGGTTCCTGGGGGCAGGGGAGCAGAAAAGGAAGGGAAAGAGAGGCACACTCTTCCAGGTCACACCCTCAGCAGCCCACTCTAACGTGGCTCTGCCTCCTAACAGTGCCCGCAGCTATGAGGTCATCCGTGAATTGACCCGTGGATTAGCACATGGTCCAGTCCACCAAACAGCTAACGTATCCCTAACGTAGCTCAAGCCTGGCCACCTCCTAAAAGCTGCCGGAGAAGTGAGCATGTTAGATAAGGACTCCAGGGCTACAGATGGCACTTCCCTGGTCGTCACTGACTCTCCTTGTTGCTCAAATTACAGACCCACAGTGGACACCAATGTCCTGGCTCTACCCTGAGCAGATCCTTCCGCTGCACCCTAACCCTGGCTGGCCACCCTGTGACCTGCAGGGCCCAAGCCCTTCTAGAACTCTCACCCAACTCTACTCGGCACTCTGTCCTACTTGCCACGTGGTATTTGCTGACACTTTTGCTGTCTATTTTAAAACCACGCCTGGAGAGCACCAAGCTGCCCTATCCCACCAATGAAAAACTCTTAGCCAAAGAGGCTCTGAAATTTTGTCATTAAGATAGCTAGCTGGTACCAAGGAGTTTGTGATGTTTCAAAGAGCACCCCATACTTTATCTGTCTATTAAACTGCATGCAAAAGAGGTTACATTTGTTGTGCTATAATTTGTAAGAAGACCTCTACATGCACAGGACCACATGATTGCTGGATCCTGAAGATGTCTTCGCTGGTGTCCTGCACATGTCTGCTTGCAGAAGGGAAAGCACTGCAGGAAATTCACCTGCCTTCTGGGAGCGGGAAGCAGCGTGAGTTTAGTTTCTCCTGTGTGACCAAGGGAGCACTGAGTAGGCACATGGCAGGGGAACCAATGCCTAGCATTTCCTGCACAGTGTCCCCTCTCCTCTACCTACTCTTAAACCTGGTTCAGAGCAAAAGGAGGCTCCTTGCCTTTTCCCAGTACCGAAGTCCCCTGCCATGATCCATTTGTCCCCACTCCCTAGGAACATTTGCCCCGTTGCTTTAAAGTGGTGCTGCATTAGGCAGGTTCCTCAGGAG